TGTAGCTCAAAAGAGTGTTTGCCTAATATGCACAAAGCCCTGGGTTTGATCCCTAATACTGCATAAAACCAAGCATAGATGTATACACTGACAATTCTAGCACTGTAGAGGCAGAGGCAGGAAGCTCAAAAGTTCAGTTATCTCAGATACATAGCAAGTTTGAAGCAAGCCTAGGACACATGAAACCATCTCAAAAATGTAAAAGCAGCTGGGCATGGTGGCGCAGGCCTTTAATCCCAGCACTTGGGAGGCAGAGGCAGGTGAATCTCTGTGAGATCAAGACCAACCTGGTCTCCATATCAGTTCAGGGAAGCTGGGGCTACAGGGAGACCTTCTTGGGGCCGGGGGGGAAAGGAGGAAGTGGAAGAGGAGCTGAAGGACTCATTGCTGACTGCAGCTTGAACTAGGATGATTATGGGAGGAGCTGGGCCAGACTCCCTATTATAGAATTTAAGAAAAACCAAGAGAGAATCAGAGCCATATGGGGTTGTGGCATACAGAAGCTTATGCAGACTTGTAGGTGTAGGAAAAAACTCAGCAAGAGATTATGTTAAATATAGGCAACCATGTACTTCTGGGAAGCAGCCACTTTTTAAAAGACAGGGTCTTACTGTGTAGCCTAGGCTGGCCTTAAACTCGCAGCAATCCTCCTGCTTCAGCATCCCAAGTGCTAGGATAAAGGTTTGAGCCATACCTGGCCAAATCTTGGTTCTTAACACTTGCCACCTCCAGGTCAGCCTGGCTCAATAACCACCTCTCAGGTTGGTCCTGTAAAATCAATTTTATTGAGTCATGGATTTATGTCTAACACTTTACAGAATTAAGCCCTAACACCTAAGGGTGAGACATAATCATTAACTCCATCTTACAGATAAGGAAACAAAGGTTTCAGATGGTTAAATAATAGTTGTTATGTGAAGACTTGACTCTAGGTCTGACTAAGTCCCTGCTCTTAGTCATTAATGCTGCACTGACTAACATGAGCCTTAAGTCCTTGCACTCTCCTTGGCCCACCCTGTCCTTACATCAATTTGGTCTTTTTGTGTGTGTGCAGGTAAACTTTTGCATGTGGAGGCCAGAGGATTTTTGGGTGTCATTCCTTGGGAGCCATCCATTTTGTGCTTTGAAGACAGGGTCTCTTGACCTGTAGCCTGCCAATTATGCCAGGCTAACTAACCAGCAAGTGCCTCTCCTGGGCCTGGGATTCAAGGCCATGACATTGCTTCTGGCTTTTGACATGAGTTCTAGGGATCAAACTCAGGTACTCATGCTTGTGTGGCAAGCACTTTACTGAGCTATCACAATACTCTGATTTTGACCTCATTATCTTGTTTGTGGGAGCCTGAAACTTGCCAAAAGAACAGCCTCTTCCCATGTGAAAAGTGCTCCTTTGCTGTAGAGTGAAAAGAGCAGCGTCAAGTATCCATTAAAGTTAGGTGTGGTGGTACACACCTCTTTAATCCCAGCATCTGGAGGCAGAGGAAGGTGGATCTCTGTGAATTCAAGGCCAGCCTGGTCTACATAGTGAGTTCCAGACCAGCTGGGGCTACAGGGAGACCCTGTCTCAAAAAGACCAAAGGGGAAAAAAAAGTATTCTAGGATAAACCTATCATATATACTTGGAAAGAAATAAAATTACCTATGAAGAATAAATGAAGTTAAGGGAACCCAATAAGATGACCTGCCTACTCTTATAAAATTAAGTTCTCTCTTAACTCTACTTTAGGCTCACAACTTGGTCAACTCGAGAGCTCATTGCTCTAAAATATAGACCATTAAAAATAACTATCATGGGGCTGGAGAGGTGGCTCAGTGGTTAAGAGGTCTGGCTGCTTTTGCAGAGGACCCAGGGTTGACTTCCAGCACCACATGGTGGCTAACAAATGTCTGTAACTTTAGTTCCAGGGATTCCATGCACTCTTCTGGCCTGCATGACACAAGTGCATTATACACATGCAGGCAAAACATTCATACACATAAAATGAAAATAAATACATTAAAAAATCATTTACCCTAAAATTAAATTCAATTTTTCATATGTAAAAATGCACAGTATTTGACTATACATGAACACCAAAGATACTTACGATTAAATTGTGACACATATTTATCACCCACAGTAGTATATTCCATCTCGCTGAAGAGGCCAACCCTCTCCATATCTGTTTTCCCTCCTCCTTCTACAGGCATGATTGCTTCTTGTGGTGGTTACTTCAGACAGTTTCTTAATTCTGCTCTTTTATAGCAAAATCCTACTTTACATTGAAAAATACAGGGGAAGTTTTTAGTGAAAAAATAAGTATTAAATTTCAAAAACAAATTACTTTTAGTTTAAGAATTATAATATTCACCATAAAACAGTAGTCCTAAGTTATGCATTGAAAGAATCAACTGTGTGATGCTGGGGAAGAATACTGGGATTCAAATGATCACCAGAAAGCCTCCCTCTGACCCTCTGTGACACACAAATTGCAAAGGAACGTGTAGGGAAATACCTGCCATCTATCAGTGAGGAATGATAAAATAGCTGCATAGAGTATGGCGTCTATAGTACATGAATCGTGTCTTCCTTTTGAGAAGTTCAAAGCAGATTTTTAAATCATAAGACATAGTTTAGATAAAATTACTTCAACATACTATATTGTCTCTGATATTGGAAACTGTAACTTAGCTTTTCAGAACACTGCACGCTTACAGGTATTGCCCTGTGTTATATTTTTCCTTCAAGTTTAAATAACTAGAATAAGGGGATGAGAGAAGAGGACAATAGTTTATTTTTTAATTTTATTATTTTTATTTTATGTGTATGAGTGTATTGCCTGCATGTAAGTGCACCTGTGTCATGCAATGCCTGAGGAGGTCAGAAGACAGCATCAGATCCCCTGGAACTGCAGTTACTGACAGGTGCTGGGAACTGAACCCAGATCCTCTGTAAGAGCAGTGCTCTTAACTGCTGAGCCATCTCTCCAGCCCCTGAACAACAATTTATGAAAAATGAAAACAAAAACCACAATCTACCATGAATTCTTAGGATTTGTTAAAGAACAGGCTGCAACTTTGGCTTTGTGGTTTTGCTTGTCTTTTGAGACAGGGTCTCCTGGTAGCCCCAGCTGGCCTGGAACTTGCTATGTAGACCAAGCTGGGCATGATCTCACAGAGATCCACTTGCCTCTCCCCGCAAGTGTGCTATTATTCTCTAAGGTCTTTTCTTTTGAAATGGTAACTTTCAAATAAAGATTAATTATCACATAATGCATGCAAGGATTATCAAGACATTTTTTTAATTAGACCTATTCTAAAAAGGAAGAGCAATGAGCTATGAGTATTTCCATCTCATGTTAATATTTATTTATTTATTTATTTATTTTATTTCATTTATTTATTTGTCTTTTTGAGACAGGGTCTCCTTGTAGCCCCAGCTGTCCTGGAACTCACTATGTAGACCAGGCTGGCCTCGAACTCACAAAGATCCGCCTGCCTCTGCCTCCCAAGTGCTGGGATTAAAGGCGTGCCCCACCACGCCTGGCTCATGCTAATATTTATAAGCACAAACTAGGATGTAGGCACTGGGCATATATTAGTGAACAAAACAAGCCTTGTTTTGCTTCCCAATTTATAATCCAAGGTAATAATCTTTTATCTGAATTTAAAGCCATTTGTTTCAAAGAGTCTGTGGAACTGTAGAGGAATCATTGCTAATATGTAAGGAATCATTGCTAATATGTAACATCAAAGGGGCAAGTGAAGGCTCAGCGTAAACTAAAGCGAAAGAAAATACAATAGCCTCCTCCACCCCCGCCCCCAAATCCCCTGATCAGGGAAACTTGAAAACTAAACACCAGTCTCTTGGGACAGACTATTTAGTTTACATTATTTCAGAGTTCCATCCCACTCCCCAGCCATACAGCCTTTCTTGATGCTAGAAGGCCTCAAATCCAAAAGCCCTTAAGAGCCCTCATCTGTCATCACGGAAGCCATTCCCTCTCCTGAAGTTTTCAGGTGGATTTTTTTTCCTGAGTAACCCAGGCGGTCCTAGAGCTTGAGATTCTCCTGCCTCAGCTCCCAGACCCTTGTGCTGGACTGTCAGGCCTGGGCCCCCTCACTCAGCTATCTTTCAGTTCTCTGGTGAGGCTGTCTTAAGCCACAGTACCATGGTCTATCTCACTTTAAGCATGTATTTGCCAGGCCCACCATTTCCCTCATCCTGAATACAGATCCTCCGCATTGCTGTACTTGTTCATCACTTCTTTCATTGTCTGTATCTGAGCAGAATGTAAACATGTACACAGCCTTCCCAAGCCTCCATCACAGTCATCTCCATGAGTGTGTAGGCATCCTTTCATTGTTTCCCCCCAGTGAACCGACGGCTCGGCCGAGGCAGGAACCGTGGTATGAAACATATTTCTGTTCACCTCCATTTTGAGGCACGGGTCTTCACTACGCTGCCCAGACTGTACTGAAACTCCTGGGCTTAATGGAATCTTTGGCCTCAGTCTCCAGAGTAGCTGGAGCCACAGTCCAGGCCACCACACCACCCTGGACTCCTTTATCACCGTATTCTAATGACTAAACACAGTGCCACACAGTCATGCAGGAAAGCTCTTACCTCGAACTCCCTCACTACATACACCCCACTTAGCTCTTCAGCAACACGAAGAATCATCCAACCTTTAACAGAGGAATTGTAAACACCTCCAACCTACCGAGAAGGCTCACTGGTAGAAGTAAGAAACTGAGACTTTAATAAAAAGCACACACTTGGCTTACATTCAAGTAGAAAGAAAAAAATGGAATTCCACACAAGTTCTCGTCAAACAGTTTGGACTAAATTGATGTAAAGTTACTCCTTTCAGGGAAGGAGACTTGAAGTAGGCGGGTATTTAGGGTACCCGGTGTCACCTCTCCAAAGGCACCTGATCCCACAACCGAGCTCAGAACCCCAGCTCAAGTCCGGGTCACACCGCAGGGCTGGTAGAACCAGGAGCCAGCAGATAGCATGCGGGTGGAGGGTGCTTGCTGCTCAGCTCGCGGAACTGCCTGCGCTTGTTGCGGAACGTTGCCTCGGAAACGGAAGAAACCATTGCCAGCACCCTATGGGAAGATATGAGAGCGTTCGAATCCGCACAAAACAGCCCCGAGGATCGATGAACGTCTACAAAAGACTGCCTATAAAACTTATTGAGGCTGAGTTTCCTGTTTCCCAGCCCACCAGCCTTTGGCAAAGAGGTGTCGTGTGGTACGCTCCGTGACGCCTGTGCGAAGCATGCTGGGAGTTGTAGTCCATGTAACCAAGCCCTGCCCCTTGGCTGGCGGTGACGCCACTTCCGGACTTCCCCTGGAGCCTGTAAACCCACGTCAGCGTCCCTGCCACCTCCAGGTGGTGGACCTGGTAAGTGTTTTTGCTCGTCATCGACCCCTATGTTCCCCTCAGACATCAGAAGCCGCCTCGAAAGAAGTATGGCTTCAGACCACCGAGAGGAGCCGGGCCTGAGGAGCTACGGTGGCGGGGCGAACTCCGCTCCCTGGGTCTGTCCCGCGGCGCGCAGGCTCCTCAGCCGCGTCAGTGCATCTACACCGGGAGGCACTGTTTGGCGTATTAGGAGGCCATGTAGGAAGAACTTTTGGTTTCTGAAAGATAGGCGTAACTTTCTTCAAATAGCCTACTCCCGTAGCTTCCGGGATGCCGCACTCCAGGTTTCCGGTCTCCTACTTCAGCCTGGGCTGCAGTCCATATCTTAGGTTTTGCCTTCCTCAGGTGTACTTTGCCCTGCGCTCTTTACCATGTTGCATCTCCCGCTGACACCTTTCTTCTGAACATAATTCCTAAATCTGCTAACTGCTTCTTCTTGAAGAGCTCATTCAAACCCAACAACTTCAGAACTGAATCATTTCCACCTCTCCTGTTCACTTCACACCCTTCCTCCCCAGTAGCCATCTCTGCAGATGGAACCACAATTCACCCCTCTTGTGCCTATCAAACACTTGGAAATCAATTCTGACACCACCCTCGTCTCAACTCCTGATTGTACAGTCAATAATCAGATGTTTTGTGTTCTACTTCTGCATGTCTGTTTCACCCGCTCTACCCTTACCATCCTGTCACCATGTTCTTGCTGTCATACAATTGGGTAGTCTCCTAAGTAGTCTTTTGGTTTGGCTCGATTTTGATTTTTGGTTGTTCGATGGTTTTTTTATATTTTATTATTTTTTGTGTATGAGTGTTTTGCCTTTGTGTATGTAAGTGCACCATGTGGGTGCAGTCCCCTCAGAGGCCAAGAGAGGGCATTGGATTCCCCTGGAACAGGAGTTGTAGATGGTTCTTAGCCACCATATGGGTGCTGGGAATTGAACCCAGGTCCTCTGGAAGAAAAGCAAGTGTTCTTAACAGCTAAGCCATCTCTTGAGCCCAGTTTGGGTTTTGGGGACAGGGTCTCACAAAGCTCAGACTGGCCTCCAACTGGCTATGTAGCTAAGGATGACTTTGAAATACTGATGTTCCTGCCTCCACCCATCCCCCAAGTACTATTACAGTCATACCTACGGCACTAGTTTTCCTAAAAGATGTTTTCAGCAGGCCTTTCACCAGCCAGCCGCTCTGCCTTGAATGGGCTCTTCACCTCCACCCCATCTTTACTTTAGGCTTCTATTACTTACTGGCTACTTGCCCTCAGATTTTACCTTAAATATGTTTTCAGAGAGGATCTTGAATCAGAGGACTGTAGTGTTTTCACATGTGGTTCTTTATGGAGCCTTCATAACAATCCAAGGAAGGTGTACCGTTTTCATAAATGTACAGAAGAGAATAGACTTAAGTTATCCAAAATCATACAATAAGTAGCCGTTAAAATTTACTCGTCTTTCTATATCTTCAGTTTCTATATCTTCAAATATTTTTATTCAAATGGTAATATTGTTCTTTACTTAACCAACTTCTGATTGCTCTCACAGTAGTTCCCAATTCTTTAGGGTTTGGTTTGTTAAAACAAGCAATAGGATGCAGGGCCAGCACTGAAGCTGAATATATGTCTTGGATTTTCATTTATTGTTTCCTTAGAATAAATTCCATGAAGTGGAATTGGGATGTATGGTATGATCTTTCAACAGGTTACAATATGTAAAATAAATAAAAGCAATCGATCTTACAGAAGTATGACAAGATTGCAAAATGAGAAAAACCTTCATAGTAGTCTGAAAGCCAAAGTTAATTTATGTCTGGTGCCCAGTTATTAGCCCAGTAGGTATTAGTTCTTCCTCACTTGTTTCAGAATAGGGCTCTTACTATGTAGTGGATTCCGTCTCCCCTTCTATCCCTTCCTGTCCCCTCCTCTATGTTGTCTCTCTGTCTCTCTGTCTCTCTCTCTCTCTCTCTCTCTCTCTCTCACACACACACACACACAAAATGATAAAATGATACAGGTCTTTTGCCATTTATCATTTACTACCTGAAACTGCTCATCAATTACATTTTGCAAGTGCTTTTTTCCTTCGCTATCAATGGTTATGCCATGTAAATTCTGACTTTTTCCTAATTATATGGCATTCATGTTGTTGGCAGATAGGCTAACCTTATACCCTAATCTTTACATAGTTTTCAGATATCCTTGGACTGAATTTCTAAGTGTGAAATCACTGTTGCACCTTTAAGATGAGTTCTGCCAGTTTATACTCTCACCATCAGTAGCATCACTTTCCATTCGTTTGGTTTGGCCACAAAGTCTCATTGTACTGGGCTCAGTATTCTTGTCACATTCTTAAGCCAGGTCTTTGCTATTGGTGGTTTTATGTTAATTGCTTAACTCAAGATTATGATTAGAAATATTAGTGCTGTGGTTCTCAACTTTTTTCCATATTGGAATCACTGACATGGAAGGGAGCAGAGAGAAGTTGCCTAGGCAGCCTTATGCCAAATAATCAGACTCAATGAGGGTGCTGCCCAAGTGTCAGAATTTTAAGCTCCTTAGGTGATTTTGGTGTAGAATAAAGGCTGAAAACCCCTGATTTAGAATGTCACGGGGTTGTTATTTATGCATAAGGAATTCACTCATGGAATAAGTAGAAGAATCCAATTTAAGTACCACCTTACCCTGAACTGAAGTAAATGCTAATTTATATGAAGATGGGCTTGTTTTGCTTTATAAGGAATTGTGGTTTCATTTATTCTAGGTGATTTTTAAAAACTATGGATATGCTCTTCAGAATAAGAGGAGGCCTAGATCTGGCATTTCAATTAGCAACTCCTAATGGTAGGTCTTCCCAAACGTTCCCTCTTTATTAATAGAATTAATGGTGATTCTGTCCATTTTACAAATAAAAATGATTTAGACATCGGAAAAATAAATGGGATTTAAATTTAGACACTGTATTCTTATACCCTTACCAGCCCACAGAGCACCTTTGTGCAAATTAAGAAAAAAAAATTGTTATCTTCCTTAGGAAACTTTACAGCTTTCTTGACGAAATTTGTCACACAAAAAATGTAAATATCCCTAATGGGCACAATGTAAATAAAGTACCAGAATTGTATGCTGCAGACTTGTAATCATATGTAGCCCTGTGCTCCCATACCTGTTTTTAAATACTGTCTTCTATTGGAATGGTATAAGAAGTTTGGAGGTGGGCTGGGCGTGGTGGTTCAAGCCTTTAATCTCAGCACTAGGGAGGCAGAGGCAGGCGAATCTCTGTGACGGAGGCCAGCCTGGTTTATATAGGGAGTTCTAGGCTAGCTAGGGCTACAGGGAGACCTTATGTTAAAAAACAAAGAATTTTGGAGGCTTTGGGCATAAAGCAGATCCTAGGATGTCTTCAAGCTTCTGGCTTAGGCTGTTGTCATAAACCGAGATAGAGAATATCTGAGGAGGAGTTGGTTTGTTACGAGATTTGCTTCTTTTTTGAGACATCACTAAGACCTCAAGTGCCAGTTCCTAACAGACATTTGGTTGAGCCTAAAACTTGAAACTTGGGAGAGTGGTTAGAACAGGAGCAGGAGAACACAGACTTGAAGGATAATAGCTGACGCCTTGATAATACATGAGATCATTGGTGAAAAGTGTGGTCTATGATGCTAGAGCCACAGAAAGGTGGGAAAGATAAGCAGTGGGAAGTGAGGGGTATGAGAATGGCTGCTAGCTAATGGGGCCGGGGTACTCTGTGAGGTGATTCAGTAGCGATGATAAAATCCTGTAGAGATACTGAAAGCCACTGACCGAGTTGTGTATTTTAAAAGAATGAAATTTACGGTCCAAGAATTTTAAAGATGGGCAAAATTAGTGACAATGATTGAAAATGGGTAATAGGTATTGAAAGTCGTTTTCACTATGTTCTACTTTTGTTGTATGTTTAGAAATATCCATGTTGAAAGTTTTTAAGATTTTTATAACTTCTATTTTCTTTTAATTTAGAACTGTTTATCAAGAATGCACTAAAGCATGTGTTGAGTGATCTGTCCGCCAAGCTTTCTTCAGATGCACTTGTGTTCAGAATTTGCCACAGCTCGGTTTATCTATGGCCAAACAGTGACGTAAACACCATCCCAGGAGAGCTGACTGACAGCTCTGCCTGCAAGAACATAATACACTGTATTCAGTGAGTATGTTTAAAGATGTCTGGAAATATTTTCAAAACATGATTTCATACTTGTAAATGTCTTTGTATATTAAAAATTTAGATTTGAGCAGGAAGAGGATACAAAACGAAAATTCATGAGAAAGAAAGACAAAAAGTTAACAGATGTGGTAAGCAAATCTGTCTTCTCTACTGATTAAAAAAAAAGCATTAAATCCTTTCATTTGGAGTTAAGTGAGATGTAGGAGATAATTTAACCTACTAATTCAGAATATTGAGGCCTTAAAGGGTTGTGCCTGTTTTATATATCTAAGCTTTTTTCTTGTTGCAGTGTGTAACTTTGAAGCTTTTACTTTAATGCTCTTTTTGTTCCTACCAAAACAAAACAGATTGAGTGCATTTACATATTGCTTAAAAGTAAATTAAAAGGATCCATTCTTGTTTATTCTTAAAGATTTATTTATTTTTATCTGTATAAGTGTTTTGCCTGCATGTATGTGCACCATGTATGTGCCTGGCGCCTACAGAGGGTGTCAAATCTCCTGGAACTGGAGTTACAGAGGCTTATGAGCCCCAACATGGGTTCTGGGACCCAAACCCGGGTCCTTTGGAAGAGCAGCAAGTACACATAATCACTGAACCATCTCTCAAGCCCAAAGAATCCATTCTTAAACATGATAAAACGATACATTGTACTATGTAAGAAAGAGCTGTTAAAGAATTTCTTTTTATTCATACTGTTTTTTGTTCTACTGACCAATGTTACTGAATCATTGCCATGTGCCATAACTTCCAGAGCCATTTCTTCAAGTCAGGAAGTTGTACAAGTATCACTAGAGTTGATCTAGGCTGTTAGGTGGAGAGTGACTAGACACAAGGCATAACTAAACCACTAGTTACAGAAATAAAAAAGATTAGACATAAGACATTGTCTTAGTGTCTTTTCCGGTTGCCGTGATTAAAATACTCTGACCAAAGCAACTTAAGGAAGAGTTTATTTTAGGGTATGGTGGGGAACTCAAGCAAGCAGAAGTTTGAAGCAGCTGGTCAGGGGAGAACAGTGCATTTGGCTGCTGCTCAGTTCCTTTTCTCTACTTATGAGGTCTAGGAGCCCTGTCAAGGAATGGCTTCTCTCGCAGTGGGTGAGTCTCCCCACCTGTGTTGACCTAATCAAGACAGTCTTCCACAAGCATGCCAGAAGCCAGCTCCCTGGTGATTCTTGATTCTATCAAGGTGACAGTTAATGCTCACCATCACAGGCATATTTGGGAGACAGAATGGACTGTACTTGGAAACTAATTGGATATGGCATAACTAGTGCCTTCCTTAGGTAGAAGAAGGTGGAGAAGACCTGAGGTCAGTTTGGTTATGTTTAAGATACAACTGAGATACACTGATAAGCTGTTAAATTGTAAAATGTGGAGTGTATAAAACTATAGGTTGTAAGTAATGATTTGGAAATTATTATTAAGTGTTGAACTTTGGCACTTTAAGGAGTAAGTGGCAGTTATTTTGTTGTGTGTTCCCCCAAAAGGTTCATTTTATGCATTCTTGTGATTAGATTCCTGCATTGTTAGCCAAACTATCATAGAAGTTATATTGTGTCTCAGTACATCATATTAAACAAGCAGGTGCTTTCTGGGTGTTCCTACATTGGTGATGTGCATGTTTTAATCAGTTACTTATGGTTATCCACCAGTTTTATCCATTGTAAAAGTATTACGTTTTCCAATATAATTAATATGTCATGGAAAGATACTGGGAGACTATGTGTATGCCCCATCAGATTTTTCTGTCTCTCATTTCCTGTGTTTATTAGGAGGCATTATATTGTAAAATAGAGCTTTCCTTTTTTTTCTCTTTATTTACTGTCTGCATGGATTCTTATGTTATTCAATGAATTATAATCTGTGCCATCATTAGTTATTTTGACATTCATATTTTCCAAGATTTGACCATAGAAGCTTCCCCAAGCTGGCTTTGGTACCCTTTTGAAACTATTTTTGGATACTCCCTGCTTTCATCCATAAAATACCCCATGCAACATGTACTTTCCTTCTTCTAGCTCAAGAATCAGCCATTCTCCATAGTGCACACACATACGTTTACCATGCATGCATGTGTGCGTGCACATACTGCATATTCATATTTATCCAGGTAAATTACATTGCTGCCTGCAGCTCCCCTTCAGCTCCACAGATTTCCTACCTGATCTCAATGAGAAGCATCACCCAGCATCCTCTATTTTGCTGTTTGTTCAAAACACAGATTTTTTTCAGAATTGTTCTATACCAGGAGCATATAGATTTATTTATTTATTTTTGGTCTTTTTGAGACAGGGTCTCCCTGTAGCCTATGCTGGCCTGGAACTCACTACGTAGACCAGGCTGGCCTTGAATTCATAGAGATCCGCCTGCCTCTGCCTCCTGAGTACTGGGATTTAGATTTATTTTTTTAAGCTCCTTTGATATGTGCTTATTTTATGATGTTCAGTGTACATTTTATGATATACAGTAAACACTATACTTGGCTTTAACATTTATCAACATGTGGCCAATCTGATTCTGTCTGTACTTGACAACCACTCTCCACATTCTTCCAGATTATTTTGAAACAGAAAGGAATTTCCTTTATTTACTATAATATAGTTTTATATACTGTCCTTTAAAAAAGCCTTTTTATTTGGCCTTTATGTCCCGTGTTTAATATTCTACAAGTTAACTGTTACTATTTGTCTATATAGCGTCAAATAGTAAATATAGATCTTATGCTGGAAATGTCAACCTCTCCGAGAGCCGTAAGCCCCATCATCGAAAGAGAAAGTGGAGGACACCACTACATTAATATGACCTTGCCGGTCGATGCAATTGTATCTGTTGCCCCAGAAGAAACATGGGGAAAGTAAGTATTTTCATACTGTTACTTCCACGGTCAATGAGGACCCCTCCCTCAAAGTAATAAGAACTCATTTTTTAAAATATTACATAGGCATATCCAGGGTGATAGTGGTTGTTTTCACTGTGCTGTACTCATTGTTGTCAACCTAAGATAATTAAATATTTATTTGAAGAAGTGGGAGAGTATGCTCAAACCTAGGGGCTTCCCCTCATCCACCCAGAACACTACACAATTTCTTTGACTTTGCATAATTTAAACTTCCTTTAACAGACCTTGTCCAAGGAAGTGGTTTGGGGTTTTTGTTGTTTGTTTGTTTTTATTATATTATATTATATACCTTAATAGACCAGGCATTTTCATTTAGTAACCGCTGTGGCCTTTGTTAATGTACTTAAATATTTTCCCCTGCAGAGTTCGCAAACTTCTAGTGGATGCAATTCATAATCAACTAACTGATATGGAAAAATGCATTTTGAGATATATGAAAGGAACATCTATTGTGGTTCCTGAACCACTGCATTTTTTATTGCCAGGGGAAAAAAATCTTGTAACAATATCATATCCATCAGGAATTCCAGATGCTCAACTGCAGGCCTATAGAAAGGTAAAACCAGTTCATCTGTTCTCAGAAAAAAAAGGACTCTTGCTCATTTTGTATTTAAGTGCAATTTGTAATAAGTGGAAATTATTTTGTGACTTAATTTAAAAGTAAAGAAATAGACTATTAGTTTTCCATATTATTTTTATTTCATGAAATTTTTTAAGTGCTAATGTAAAATATGTTAGTTTAGTACAGTATGTAATATTTTCATTTCAAATGCTCAGTGTGGCTCATACAATCTGTGAAATTTTATATTTTCGATAGTGAAAAATGTAAGTGGAAAGATGCGTACATACCTAGAGAAGCTGATGAATATTAAGGAACCCCTTTGCCCTCTGTTACTTCCAGATTTCTGAAAAAGACATCAGTGTGGTACAAAAGGAGAGCTTGTGTTAATTCTGATTATGATTTATGATAATTTTATAATCATATAAATAAGGTATTTAAGTTTCATTAAAGAAATTTTGGAGAAAACCCATCCGGCAATAAAGAAAATTTATTGGCAAAAAGAATGGATTTTAGAATACATCTTTTTGTCATGTGTAGCCATCAAATTATGCCATAGATCCTCTTCATAAACTCCTTCCCTAAGAAGAAGTGGAACACTCTAACCCTCTCTACTGCCCTGTAAGTGTGATATAAATTGATTTCCAGACAATGCTACATGAGCTAACCCATTCCGACCATTAGAGTACACAGGAGATAGGCCACACTTTTAAGAGTAACTATTGCATTTTTTTTATGCACTTAAGGAGGTGCATTTTAAAGATCTGCCTATTCAAGCCATTTTGGATGGTTTTGTATCACCAACTTCTTTTCTGTAATGTAATCACTGCACTTATATTTGTAAAGCATTGTAAACATAGTGTTTCAAAATACTTTGATACATCATTATAAATTACAATTTCTGATTTACAAAGCATCCCAATTCTCTCTAACAAGTTATTTTCATATTTTTGTATTCCCTTCTAGTTTCTATCCATATAAACAAAACAAATCGCATGTTTTTCATCTAATTCACACCCATTGATCTTAAATAATTAAGTCATGTTTCTGAAAAATGTATAGGTAACATACTAATTCTTTGTTTTATAACAGAGACTCTAAATCATTAATTTTTTTCTTTGTCTATTGATTCTAATTTTATTTAGGAGTTACATGATCTCTTCAATCTGCCTCATGACAGACCTTATTTCAAAAGGTCTAATGCTTATCACTTCCCAAATGAACCCTACAAAGATGGCTACATTAGAAATCCACATACTAATCTTAGTCCACCTAACATGGAGACTGGTTTGGTGAGTTTAATTTTTTTTTTTAGTATTTTATTTATTATTTTTATGTGTATGTGTACATTGCCTGCATGTAGGTAAGTGTACCCATGTTGTGCAAAGCCTGTGGAGGACAGAAAAGTCTGTTGGATCCCCTAGGACTAGAGTTATGGACAGGTGTTAGCTTCCATATGGGTGCTGGGATTCAAACCAGGCCTTCTGCAAGAACAGCCAGTGTTCTTAACTGCTGAGCCATCTCTCCAGCCCCCGAGTTTAACTAATTTTTATGAGACTTGATTGATTATTGTCATTAGTTGTTTTTTGTTGGTTCCCAAGAGAAGTTTTAAAAATTGGTTCATAATATGTCATCCCTAAAAAAATAACTTTATCATTATCTCTTTTAAACCACTGTTTAAGTATCCTTTGAGTTAGCAGTAGTGATCTAAAAGGGTTAGGACTACAGAGTATTTACCATATTTCTCTTACAAAAATTTCATTTTCTGAGTTCTTTAAAGGTTTGTCCCATTTTTTTTTTTTTCATTCTGCACCCGATAAATCATGCTAATTAAGGGCACAATCCAAGCCACCTATGGAAAAGTCTAAGGTGCTAGACTTCCTGTAGCACATGTATCTGGTTGCAAGGAACAGGCCCAAGCTGTAGGATGACTGGACTGGTGGAGGATAAGGAAAGAGGTTAAATTAAGGATACATGAGGCCACTAAGACAGCCAGTCTAGGCTCTCTGCAGGCCTGCATGGGCTCCCTGTTGGCATTCTGGTGTCTTCCTGTGTGGCAGATCCTGACTGCTCTGCTCATCCCTCGTCAGCTAGTACCTTCTGTGTCTTCTTGTTTCAGTTGTGTAGAACTTCTTCCTGCTTTTCCTTTAGATGCTCAGCATACGTTCATTGCAACTCTGTTCCTGCTTCTTACTGCTGAATTTACTCTGCACTTTTCAGTTCAGCTTCCAACAAAAAGAATATGTGATTGGCCATTGTTTCATAACATTTTTTTTAGTACCTTCAAACTGTCTAGGAACTTTGTAAGGAAATTTTAAGACTCCAAATAAATATATGATATAATTACTCTAGAGGACTGAGGAGTCCGTTTTATGTCCTGGACGTCAGTGTGTACTTGGCAAGAACCCCATCTGAAAGGGCTGTGGACAGACCAGCTTCCCCTAGAAAGAATATAGGCCGGGCACTCAGCAGTATGTATGTATACATGTAAGTCTTCAGTCAACATTTCAAAGGTGTTCATTAATTTTCACTTATTTTGAGAGAATAGGAGGAAATCTGGAAAAACCTATTCCTTGTTAAAAATATTGCTCTGTCACGGTCATAGAATTGACCAGTTTATAATGTTACAATAAAACTCAGTGGTTTTCTACAAGCTTAATATTTTTCTTTCAAACTATTTTAATTCTTAATAGTTCCTTACAAAGAATCCAGGTGACTTATGAAAGTCCCAAGTAAATGCTAAGTTTTTGACAATAATATAGGCTCCTTATCTGTGCTACAAACACAAAACATTTCTTTTTGTTTAACTATTAATAAGGAAGATTTAGTCATGCAAATTAAAATGAATTACCAAAAAGAAATTAAGTGAATGTGATACAATGGTAAGGGACAAGCCAACATGATTTGTAATCACCCATGCCTAGTGGTAAAATCTTTGTAGGAGCCTGAAAATTAGAACTGAAAAGATTTCCAGAAAATTTATCAATTACAATTTTAAATAGAAAGCTATTGAAAAAATACTGGCAAATGGATCAGTTACTTTGTTTTGATCACAAAATAATATTGTTCAACTAACATATTGCATATATTAAATAAAAACAAAGTAATGCCAAAAAATTTTTTAAAAGAGAATGAAATGCTGAACCCAAATAAAACAAAACAATAGTACTTAATATATGCTGTTTCTTTTTCCCTTTTGTTTGGTGATTATCTTCCCGGTACTGAAGCATGTTTCTCAGAAGACTGTTTAGAGAATTTTTGCTTACTGGTCTCAGATCTTTTATCCTTCCCCTTACCCAAGGAAGAAGCCTGGTTTCCTATCCCTGTTGTGTTTATGATGTTTTGATTACATGCTCAATTCCCTGCCTTTTTATCATGAAAACTCTTAGAAATCATCTCAGAGGCCTATCTTTTTTTTTAACTTTAAAAAAAAAATTATTGAGAATTTCATACATGCATGTAAAGTGTTTTGATCAAATCCACACCCACTCCCTCCCCTCCAACTCTTCCCATATCTCCCCATCACTTTTTCCTGAACAACTTCCTATGCTTTTTTTTCTTTAACTTTAAAAAAAATTTTATTGAGAATTTCATACATGCATAGTTATTTTGATCAAATCCACACCCACTCCCTCCCCTCCAACACTTCCCATATCTTCCCATCACTTTTTTCTGTCAATTTCAAGTACTCTTTCTTCCTTTCATTCTTTCTTTTTTTTAATGGGGTTTTTTGCTACTCAAACAGTCCCCCCTCTGAAGAGGTAACCCTAAAATCTTTTAGGGAGTAGATAAGAGCTCCCAAATACTTTTGACCTTTTTGGCCTTTGGAACAGAGACAGAGTATGTTGTTAAGAGGCCCAAGGACAGTTTGACTTTTAGCCAAGAAACTGGCTACGTTTCTTTGGGGTGTTTTTTACCCTAACTGCCTAGCCAATTCCTACCTTCTATTCTTATCACATCATCCTCTGAAGAGGTTACCCAACTTGCAAATAGGGAATCTGGACACAGACTGCTCTGGCTTCTTCCATGCTGAACAGGGACGTAGGATGAGGCAATTGGGGTACCCCTTCAGTGGGTCTATCTAAAAGACTCCCAAATTAC